ATGAGGCACGCTCTGCTCAGCCACCCCTGCCACAGCAGCAGGTTACGGTGAAGATAAGAGGTGAATTTGCAGCCCATGAGCTACCCCGTGGTACCTGACTCTGCAGAGACTCCTTGGGTGCACATTCATGGCACAACCCACTTCACGGGGGCTCCGTGATCCCATGGGACAGCAGCACAAACCCAGCCAGATGCACCACCGCAGCTCTCAGGCAGCACGTTCAGACCACCCCAATCTTGTACTTTGAGCCTGACAACCCACCCCATCCACAGGGTAACATCTACTGACCACCCTCAGATACCCATTTATGGATCTCTCTGTACAAAATAATTCAGTTTGCCGACAGTTCCAGCAAATAAATTGTCCACCAACAGAATCCGGTGATGACCCAGGTCATCTCAAACTGTAACAGTTTTTCTTCAGGAATGATTACTTGTAAAACAATACTAAAAAGGCAATAAACGCTATTACTAAATTCATTCAGTTGCCATCATTAGGGGAGTCAACTTTCCTGTTCTGTGCTAATTAGATCAGTTAGCAGAAGCTCAGAAAGAGGAACATTAACCAAAGTGTATCTGGAGCATCCCAGGGACAGACAGAGACAGCCAGAAGGGATTTCTGAGCACTCATTGCCTATGAAATTCTGCAAACCCCTTCAACCAGTCATTCAAGCTACGCCAAGATATATGGGTTTAATCCTTCCACTCCCTCTAGCAAAGTACAAAGCACTTTGTCAGGGAGCTTTCAACTGAGGCCAAATCAGCAACTCTGTCTGTTTTGCTAACGCAGGAACGCTGATCCCTGCCTCCTGGCAGAAGGCAAGCCCTCCCCTCGCACCTCATTCTGCTCCCCATTTAAAGCCAGTCTATTTATCTACTGATACAATGAAATTTAGATTCTCCAGCCTTTTTCTGTTAACAGGTGCCATGAGTATAAAAATATCTTGTTGGGCCAGTATCACACCAATTTGGACAATAAAAGGTAAAGTCCTTCTGGGAAAAAATACCCTCCTCTGTCCTGTAATTACTAGAACAACCACCTGCCAGAGTAAGACCATCCCTGGTTCAGACCTTCTGCGGTTACCACTGCCTGAAGTTTGGTAGCCTACCAAGATGATCATCGTTTATCCTAGATTAAATCCAGAATCAACTACAAGCACAGTGCACAACCTTCCCATTGTGGTCAAGAACTACATTGATCCTAACAGTACCACAACTTGTCCATTGTGAGCTGAAGGAAGTGCCCTGTGGGTATCTGCTGCTGGTCAAGTCCTCAAAACATCTTTGTTGTCGCTCAACTGGAGCCAGGTTGAAGACAAGAGTCAAATTCAAGATGGTAAATGGTTCCAGCAAATAAATTGTCCACCAACAGAATCCGGTGATGACCCAGGTCATCTCAAACTGTAACAGTTTTTCTTCAGGAATGATTACTTGTAAAACAATACTAAAAAGGCAATAAACGCTATTACTAAATTCATTCAGTTGCCATCATTAGGGGAGTCAACTTTCCTGTTCTGTGCTAATTAGATCAGTTAGCAGAAGCTCAGAAAGAGGAACATTAACCAAAGTGTATCTGGAGCATCCCAGGGACAGACAGAGACAGCCAGAAGGGATTTCTGAGCACTCATTGCCTATGAAATTCTGCAAACCCCTTCAACCAGTCATTCAAGCTACGCCAAGATATATGGGTTTAATCCTTCCACTCCCTCTAGCAAAGTACAAAGCACTTTGTCAGGGAGCTTTCAACTGAGGCCAAATCAGCAACTCTGTCTGTTTTGCTAACGCAGGAACGCTGATCCCTGCCTCCTGGCAGAAGGCAAGCCCTCCCCTCACACCTCATTCTGCTCCCCATTTAAAGCCAGTCTATTTATCTACTGATACAATGAAATTTAGATTCTCCAGCCTTTTTCTGTTAACAGGTGCCATGAGTATAAAAATATCTTGTTGGGCCAGTATCACACCAATTTGGACAATAAAAGGTAAAGCCCTTCTGGGAAAAAATACCCTCCTCTGTCCTGTAATTACTAGAACAACCACCTGCCAGACTAAGACCATCCCTGGTTCAGACCTGCGATTAACACTACCTGAAGTTTGTAAGCCTACCAAGATGATCATCGTTTATCCTAGATTAAATCCAGAATCAACTACAAGCACAGTGCACAACCTTCCCATTGTGGTCAAGAACTATATGGATCCTAATGGTACCACAACTTGTCCATTGTGAGCTGAAGGAAGTGCCCTGTGGGTATCTGCTGCTGGTCAAGTCCTCAAAACATCTTTGTTGTCGCTCAACTGGAGCCAGGTTGAAGACAAGAGTCAAATTCAAGCAGTTGGTTTTTATTCCGTAGTTCTACAGAATAGTCCTTTCACTGGGGTTGCCACAGCACACACGGAAAACATTTTCCAGTCACTCACAACATGGCCTTTGTTTTTGTTTTTTTAAACCTGTAGAACGTAAACAATTATATTAGGGAAAAACTAAAAGGGATGAATCTGGTTCATCATATTTCTATCAAGTGACAGGAGTAAAAACCTTTTCCTTCAAAGTCTCACCCACAAACACTTCCTCAGCAACTGCAGAAAGGCATCAAGGAGACCCAACCACAGAAGAGTTGAGCATTTACCTGGTTAGAAGCCCCTTCATCCCATAATCAAAGACCATCTTGACCATATAGTGACAACTCCCTACTATTACAGCACTCAGCAGGATGAATTTAAATATTTCAAGCTTCCCAAACCAAGAAATGAAATGAATCTAAAAATATTTTAATGTAGCAAGTTTGGCTATAGAACCAGTGCAACATAAAGAGGACACCCATTGGATAACCAACTTTACTGCTTAATCTTAGCAGAGTAAGCTACAGATGCAACGGATTTACCACGAGTTATTTGGTTAAATTAAATACTGCAGTTAGGATCATGCTATTGGTAATTGTGGCTTTACAGTACCAATGCTCAAGTTGGCTGAGTTAGTTTTACTGTAAGTAAAATGCAAGTTTACAGAGAAACAAAATAATTTAGTATAGTAGGCTGTATTCCGTTCCATGCTCAGTCACAATGATAACGTCTTCGACAGATAAACAATATTTCAGCATTAAGTTAATAATGCCAAAACATACAGGAATTTTAATGCCAAATTTACAACATAATACAGTGCTAAACAGAGAGATTTCTCAGGGTCGGTGGCCAACTGAGAATGCTACACAGGACTGAGAAGCATCCGAGCACTACCCAGTGCGTACCGAGTGAACCACACTGACAGGAATGTTTTACCTTTTTGATGGGATTATTCTTCTAGAAGTTTGTGTCCCAAACACAGTGCAATGCAAAATGAATGTTGAGCCCTTGCCTCAAACGTGAAGCAAAAAGGGCTACACGTATTTACAAACTCGAACCAGTAAAACCACTTTAACAGAAAACCATTGTGATCACTCGACAAAGACGACAGAGCTCGATGACTGTATTATGTGAACTAGAATGGTAACGAAGTTGTAAACAAATTTTAACCAAATTAGGTTAATGCATCCATTCTTAACTCAAGAATATTGTCATTTCAGCAAACAGTGATTTTTAAAGCTAAGGACACTATCAGAGGTTTTATTTTTGTTTAAAGCCAAAACTGATAAAGATCTGGAAGGGGGCAAATCATTTTTGTTCCCTATTAGCCTTCATTAACTTCTCCATTGTGTATTTCAGCAAAAAATTCTGCTTCAACTTATGTAGATGGTAGGAAAGTTGAAGCAAATGTTATCAATATTTGAAAATCCCTACTCAGAATGGTTTGGTTTTCCACTGTTGGGGATGAGATTAGACTGCCGGCATCGTTCTACGTAGAAAAAACAATGAAGCATTGATTTTTGATTTTAAAAGAAAAACTTCCTCAAAATTAAGTACGCTTTGCAAATATGTAAAGAAATAAATAGGTCAATCAGATTTGAATCAGTCAATCACAGCAGTGACCTCCTCATTCTTCCTCCCTCCCACCCTCCAAACTAACACCATTGCCCAAGTGGCTTATGTGGAACTGCTAGAATTAAATTCATTTATATGAAGTCTAGCCACAAAACAAAAAAGGAGAAAAAACTTTATCCCTGCCGCATCTTCTTTTTTTTTTTTTTATTTTTTTCTTGCATTTTGTAATAAGAGGTCAATCAGATTTGAATCAGTCAATCACAGCAGTGACCTCCTCATTCTTCCTCCCTCCCACCCTCCAAACTAACACATCCCAAGTGGCTGATGTGGAACTGCTAGAATTAAATTCATTTATATGAAGTCTAGCCACAAAACAAAAAAGGAGAAAAAACTTTATCCCTGCCGCATCTTCTTTTTTTTTTTTTTTTTTTTTTCCTGCCTTTTTTAATGAATTCAAGCCAGCATAAAGGGGACTGTGTTGGTTTTTTGTGTGTTGGGTTTTTTTTTTTTACACAGGCATAAGAGTTGTGCAAGACAAAGCTGAACAAACTTTTGTTTCAGAAAGATTTTATATTACCAACTCATTTATCTTCAAAACTAAAGGTGGTAAAAAATAAATCCATAGCAAAACCAAACCAAACCCTGTAGTCAAACTGCTTTTTCAAGTATATTTCTCCCCTCGTGAAAGAACTGCATTAGCCATACTACTGCTTAAAACCCACATCACAGTCATCAGGATTCAGAGCAGAGGCCTGGATCTCCTGGAACTGGGCTCAGCTGGATCTCCAGCTGAGGTTACTCAAGACTGGAAACAGGAAGGCGACAGGTTTGTGTGTATCACACCTCTCCTCAACTCCCTGATCCTGACAACATCCACCATCACACCCCCATCACATCCCCAAAGCAGGAGAAATGGCACAGGAGCCACCAAGTGATCTTGGACAGGTACCATCGTTCACTGATCAATCAGGTGCAAATCTGGTTTCTGCTGATGGAGATGCCCTTTGGGGACCCTACCAGCTGGAGAATTTTGCCCACAACATTTCTACAGAGCACAGCATAAAACACATCTTGGTATTTCATTCAGTCTGGAATTCACATCTCAATCTATTGCAATTATGGAAGCCAGTGAAAAGTCAATGAGAGGGGTTCTACAAGAGTTGGTCCCAGCATCAAACACTAACACACAGGAAAATAAAAGGGGACAAACTTCCAAGTCACTATTAGTGATGGTGATAGGTTCAACTTTTCTTCCTTCTTAAATACACCTCCCGTTAATGCAAGAGAAAAGTGCAACTTTGCAGCATGTTTGTTCACATCAAGTTTTCCTCAAGAACACATTTTGCAGTAACAAAATATGGTCTATAAAGTTGCAAAGTGCACGAGCTGAAGGCACAGAGTACAAACACATAGGAAAACAGATTTCAAAATACCAAATAACACCAAAAAAAAAAAAAAGAGATAAAAGAAAAATCTGGAATTTAAGACTCCCTGACAGAAGATACATTTATATGGGACCAACTCTTAAAAGGTGACAGTTTTTAAACTAATGAACAAATACTGCAAAATAATGAAACTTTATTCTTATTATTTAAGTAAAAGCTCCAGAAAATACCTTGTTTAAAAACTAATACACTGACGTGTTAACTAGTTTTAAGAATGTCCTTAATATTAAGAAAAGAGTGCAAAAAAGATTCTTCCATTCTAACGCTTTTGGAAGCTGCTGATTTCGGCTGCCCGTTTCCACTTTGAAAGGATTGTTTTTCAAGGTGCATTCCTCACAAAAAAATCACAGAACATGAACTTGTTGAGAGGCCAGACCAAGGAATCATGTCTTTCAAAGTCATCTCAATTATAGCAGCAACTGACATTTTCTTATTTAAAGAAGAAAGTCCAAAGCTCTTCTTTGAGGCATAGTTCATGTCAGAGCTTGAGTATCAGCAGTTGCCAAAGGAGGCTCCGGATACCACCTGCTCCTCCAGTGTCTGTTCTGGCTGGGAAGAGAAGCTGATCCAATATATTCACTATCTGTACCCCCTGGAGCTTGCACAAGCTGACGAGCCATCTGAAATGATATTAAAAGTTCAAGAAATTATCTCATACTGAATCTCCATCTTATGTCCTTTGCTCCCCTTTCCCCCAACAACCTGAAAACCAGCATCGCCTCCAAAACGTGAACAGCGTAAACCGAAGCTGGTGTATCATGTACACAGCTATTCATTCAGTTCAGGTTGTAATAAGAGCTTATCATAAAACTGCACGACATTTTATGGTAGGAAATAAAGCAAACATACTCTGCTGAAAGCACAGGGAGAAGCTTGGCAGAAAGTGTACATTAAAATGAAGTTAACACCAGCACCGGGACAGACACTGCTTCCCAATTCCCAAGGCTATTTAATGGAGAGCAATCAGAACATTGTATTTAAATCCCAACCCAGAAAGTAGGGGACTGGATTCTCCCCTGGCCAATTATTCAGTCAGCACAGAAGATGAAACCTTTGACTGACTGCACCCAAATGCCTGGAATAGAGCAACTGAGAGTGGAAATATCATTCCTCCCCGTGCTTCCTTTCCCCCAGTATGGGTTAGGGGCTCGGGGGGAATTAAGGGAGTTACAAAGTGAAGAACCTCGTAGTTAAACGTGCAGCAAGAGACTTCATCTACAAATGGAGGAGAACTTCCCAAATACTGCCTTTAGCATCTCAATGCAGGTGGATCCTGTGTTGTACTGGACATGTAATTGAGGGTTCCAAGTTGAAAAGCACAACCCTTCCAACCCCTCTGTTCTGTCAACAGACAGAAACACGCATCACCAGCAGGTGATTTATACCAGAGGTGGACAGTCTCAACATTTCACCACCTGCTTTGTGTATCCTGACCAGGCAGAGACTTGGGACAACTACATTCTTTTTCCTTAAGGCCTCAGCTATGTAAAGGAAGCACCCTACCCATCCTATGGGTGGCTGGGATGTCTTACTGCTTCAGAGGTGGCTGTGGGACTCCAGCACAGTTGGCCTGGCTCTCGACTCAAGAAGTTTATATCATTATCTAGAACGGTGAAAGTCACACTGACAGGCCACAACGTGGAGGTGCAGCCTCTGGCACCTCACCAACCCCCCCAAGAACCCAGAAGCCCACTGCCACCCGTGTCCCAAATGCATACTTACTGTAAGTTAACTCTTCTCCAGCTCTCTTGCGTGACTGGTCACCTCTAAAAAAGAAGAGAAAGAAAGGTATTTGCATTGTAATAAAAGGAAAACAATGGTGAAATACCTCAGCACAGTCATCAACTTTTACAGGCTTTAGAAACTAAATGCAAACATAGTAGCAGTAACACAACTGCAGGATTCTCAACTTACTGAAACAGAAGTGTAAGCCGTATTTTATAGATTTAATTAGCTCACCCTTTTGTTAAAGATAGTAGGTTTGATTTTTTACAAAATGAAGATGAAGAAAAATTGCTCCTATGCAGTGTGGTCTTAAGTCATGCATAAAATCGTTTTCCTTAACTCAAACTTCACAATCAAACTTCATAGAATTTCATGAAAAATTCTGCATCTATCAAACTAAAAGGTAAGATGCTCCTGGAAACCCAGCTATCAGACTCTAAGCAAGTCTGTGCTGACAGCAAGCCCACTGCCACCCGTGTCCCAAATGCATACTTACTGTAAGTTAACTCTTCTCCAGCTCTCTTGCGTGACTGGTCACCTCTAAAAAAGAAGAGAAAGAAAGGTATTTGCATTGTAATAAAAGGAAAACAATGGTGAAATACCTCAGCACAGTCATCAACTTTTACAGGCTTTAGAAACTAAATGCAAACATAGTAGCAGTAACACAACTGCAGGATTCTCAACTTACTGAAACAGAAGTGTAAGCCGTATTTTATAGATTTAATTAGCTCACCCTTTTGTTAAAGATAGTAGGTTTGATTTTTTACAAAATGAAGATGAAGAAAAATTGCTCCTATGCAGTGTGGTCTTAAGTCATGCATAAAATCGTTTTCCTTAACTCAAACTTCACAATCAAACTTCATAGAATTTCATGAAAAATTCTGCATCTATCAAACTAAAAGGTAAGATGCTCCTGGAAACCCAGCTATCAGACTCTAAGCAAGTCTGTGCTGACAGCACTTCAAGCAGATTTAAATAATTAACTAAAGCTCTATAAACACTGGTTGACATCATCACTTATGAAAATGTTAAATTCCCATCTATTTGGAAAACAGCTTTTCCTTTTATTCTTGTGCACACAAACTTATAAAGCTGGAAAATCTTGCTGCTTCACAAGTTTCTTGTGATGATAGATACGGTATTGAGACCGTATCTATCTATTGAGAGAGATTCCAGTATCTTTTTGTCACAATGGTTATAATTCCACATTTATCTGCTGGAAGGTGGCAGAAATTGGGGGGAGGGAGGGGTGGTACACATTTTGTATGCCTTGATTAGAGTCTTTCATAAGGGAAATACCGCCAAGCAACTGGCTTGTGTTCCCACTTTCTGCAGCAACGTCATGCATAAAATTGTTTTCCTTAACTCAAACTTTGCAACCAAACTTCATAGAATTTCATGAAAAATTCTGCATCTATCAAACTAAAAGGTAAGATGCTCCTGGAAACCCAGCTATCAGACTCTAAGCAAGTCTGTGCTGACAGCACTTCAAGCAGATTTAAATAATTAACTAAAGCTCTATAAACACTGGTTGACATCATCACTTATGAAAATGTTAAATTCCCATCTATTTGGAAAACAGCTTTTCCTTTTATTCTTGTGCACACAAACTTATAAAGCTGGAAAATCTTGCTGCTTCACAAGTTTCTTGTGATGATAGATACGGTATTGAGACCGTATCTATCTATTGAGAGAGATTCCAGTATCTTTTTGTCACAATGGTTATAATTCCACATTTATCTGCTGGAAGGTGGCAGAAATTGGGGGGAGGGAGGGGTGGTACACATTTTGTATGCCTTGATTAGAGTCTTTCATAAGGGAAATACCGCCAAGCAACTGGCTTGTGTTCCCACTTTCTGCAGCAACAGTGTTTGCAAGTGTTGATAAGCTATTTCAGCTAGAACCTGACACGCCATTAATGCTGGTGAAGACACCTCACTGTGCTGTGTTCCTCGTGGTTATTATTGTAGGAAGTGCAGCAGCAAAGACATCACCATTTTTTGGCACAATTATAGGAGATCAGATGACATTTCGTGCTAATCCAAAAGAGAACAGACTTAGCACCTCCTTGGTAAAAGAGAAAACCTACCCTTTTATACATATAAATATATACATTTTTATATGTAGGAATATAACCTCAAAGCAATTCTGAAAGATTATAAGTAAATATAAATTATGTTCCCGAACACAGGAAGAAGCATATTACATTTTGAAATACATTTGAAGGCAGAATGCATTTCAAATACCACTGCAAAATGCCATGTAGCAAATTGCATTACCTGTACTTCGGTTTGCTTTTACCTGTGCCCTTTTAGTGACGACAGACTCGACTTTTTATATAACTTTATATAACTTTATATAACCCCCATGTTTACCAGATTGCACTGACTCCCTGGCAGCACAACCATATAAAATATACTGTGCAAAACACATTCATTAGAGACTAAATGTCATCCATCAGTTACTCCACTGCAAAGTTTTATTTTGCATTTTCATATAATAAATTGAAAGTAAGCCACGTAGAAATGGCAGTTGCACCAAAGCATGGTCTAGGGTGGGCCAGTTTTCTAAATCTACAGGACACACCAAAACTCTTCACAAGTCCAATACCCAGACAAAAGGAAGAGGAACTCTTAGAAATGAGACTCCGCAAACAATATGTGACACAGAAACCTTTACTTAGTTCTTCCCTCTACAGCTATCCTCAAGTCCTAATCTCTTCTATGTCACCACCTACCAGACAGGACAGAAATAGTTTCCTACGGATGTGCATTAGTTCCAGTGCTAGAGACTTGGTTTTCTCCATAAACTAGGAGTTGCCACAATACATTCTGAAGATCCCACCAAGTCTCTAACGAGAGGAATCTGGCCTTATAACAGGCAGTACCCTTCCTATTACCCTTCCTACCCTGTTATACAGAATCCTCCTCACGGTACCAGCCAAAGAACTTCACTGTCGAGCTGAGAGGCCCATCTTATTTTTCGGTACCTAGGGAAAAATGTTTTTGAAACTGATTGCTTTTGTGGATACAGACTGCTACTACTTGAAACTTCATTTTTAACTCTCTATGAAGCATGAAACTGGTAGAACACAACTGTAAGCAGAACTGCTATAAGCCACCTACAGAATTGGTAAGAATGTTCCTTTTTTGTTTTGCTCTGTGCATTACATTCCTTTATCAGCAGTATATGTCTACTCAGTTTCAAACAAACAGTATCAAACCTCTATTCCTTGGGCCAAATGAACTGCTTTTCTCAGGCCAAGCTCTTATTGCCTTGTTTTTACTGTCTTAACTCATGCTTATCTATCAATTTTTTTTTTTTTTTCCTCAACAGAAAGCCTTACAAGGAGTGAGCCTACAATACCATTTGCATTTGGGTCAGTAGTAGAGCTCTGACACTCAATAATTTACCAAGCTTTGAATACAGAGATTACCTTTGAGGAAAACTACACCAGGAGTATGAAATCCAGAAGTACATCTAACACTGAACAAACCCACCTCTCGTGGGTGTTTGAAATACAGGACCAGATTTGGAGCACTGCAGCTGCACAGGTAACAGGAAGGATGAAGACGTGTTGTCTTCATGCAGCAATGAACCTCTTGGACACAGAGCAGGGCAGCTTCCCCAGCCTGGTCTCGGTTTGTCAAGACTACTGCAAACGTGGTAACTAAATGTGGTGAAAGTGCTGTGCTTCCGTCTCGGCACTTAAATAGAAGAGCAGAGTCCACAGGGAACAATACAGGTTATGAAAATTTTCCACTGTCTCCTTTTCTGTTTGTTCTTCCCCACCTCCTCCAATTCATTACTCAGAAGAGAAACGCGTATTTAAAACAAACACCTTGACTGTATAAATAGCTCTGAAAGTGGAATAAGGAGAAGTCATCAACTGACATTTCCAGAAGCAGCATGAAAAAAAAAAAGACAGCTTATAGGAAAAAAAAAAAGAGACCAAAGTATATAAAGGCTGAACAAGAGCAGGATCACGCATTAGAAGCACAATGAAAACAGAGGGAGGCATGAACTGTAAGCAATTTGTTTTGTGAAACTACTTCAAGACGTCCAATCATCTACTTTTTAGTATCATCTGCAGGGTTGGTAGTGATCAAAGCATGTGGAAAATCAGGCCTTACTTCAGATATTGAGTTGTGAAGGTTCTTTATTAACTCTTAAATTATTTCTTCAGTATTGTTAGGTGTATCCATTTTTACCACATCAACACTGTCCATCACAATTACTACTGAAGACTAACAATTATTACCTATCAAATCCATTCTGCATAAGCTCTCTTTGAAGCTTCTGGTCTTGAGCAGCATATTCCTGAAGCTCAGATTCCACAGCAGGGGGTAGAATATTTGGGATGAATTTAGAAAATAAAGCTGGTGCCATCTGTACCCATTCTGTAAGAGAGAAAGCAACAACAAAACACATGGAAGAGATCTTTTGTGAATATTTCACTCTTTGACAAACATAACCTTGCTCTATTAAAAATACATTTTAGGTTCTTGAATTTAAAAAGGAAAAGAGATTAAAAAAACAACCAACAAACCAGCCTCCAAAACCCACAGAAACCAAGCCTTAAAAGCAGAACAAATAATCAAGACTGTTAAAATCAGATTACATGTAGATAAAGGAATTACTATTTTCTGAGGCCATCGATCCCATCATCAAATTGAAATTCAGTTCTTGCTGCATCCCACGGGGCCTGCTGAGTCTCTGGCCATGCTCAAGGACAGGTACTGATGATCAACAAACTCACCTTAATAATCAGATCATTTGTAACGCTTTACCCCAGGAAGCGTATTCACAAAATTTACACCTCTCTTCCCTGAGCCTTACTTCCAGGAAACACAGCAATATCACCACACAACACTGCTTCTCCATCCCACATTTCACATGAATTAATGCAATTCTCTCACTGATCTTCCAAAGCTTAGATGAACACTTTTTAATGTTCATTATATAATTTTAACCTGCATTAGTTCACCTTTAGGATAGAAACCTGATTTAATTTCACTACACTGAACATTGCCTTACAGAAGCAAGATAATCACCTTAAAGCTGCTTCAAGGCTGATGGTAAGAAACACAGAGCAAAGGATGAAAATTGGGTTTATAGCAACTGTATAAGAAGTACCAAGAAAAAGAAATACTTGGCAAGTATTTCTGAAGCCAGACTTTCCAGAGATTGTAGCAATCTTGGAAAAAAGGGATGGCAACCACACACGCGGAGATTGTAGCAATCTTTACTTGGAAAAAAGGGATGGCAACCACACACGCATTTAGTAAAACATATCACAACAACAGTATGAGACATTCCTAGAAACATTTCTCTCTTTTACCTGGTCGTAGTGTATACAGGCCTTTCACAATATTTGCCATGGTTGAAGGAGTTATTTGAAACGGCGTTGACTGAGCTTCCAAAAGTAAAGCTGAAACAAAAATTAAGAGAATTAACATTTTATCTAATCAAGAAATATAGGCTCTTACACATACATTTTTGTATCAAAGAAATACAGTAGATGTGCTTTTTTTGTTTATCCGATGTCCTCAACAAAAGAAACAGCCAGGTATCTGATTGACAACTTAATTCTCAACACTGATAAAACATCACCTTTAAACAGAAATACTCTGTTCAGATTATATATGATGAAAATATGATGTGAAATAACTTATTTTTCATCTGTTTTCAGGCAGGTAGCAGGAGTTGTGAGGAAAATCCAAGCAAGCGATTGCTCTAAGTATTCAGATGCAGAACCGAAGTAAACAATTTATTTTTAGAAGCAATCTCATACTGAGCGTGCTAAACACCTGGAGATCCATAAATCCTCACTTTACAGTATTTAGCATCTTGTCCATAAAACTAAGGCTGAACTGAAAGTCTATGAATGAAGTACAAGTAGTGAAACAAAAAAAGTAAGTAAAAGTCAAAGAAAAGTTCTTTTAAACACAAGTGAACATTTCTTTTCATTGTTGGTAACTTTTGTAATAAGCATTGCAATAGTTACATCTTCCTCTTGATGAAAAACCTGGCAATAGAAGACTTACTGCTTCTATTACAATATCCAGGCCTTCAGCCTGCATTGTATTTATTTGAGGTTTGTACATCCACCTGAATTACACAAACAAGCAAAAAAAAAAAAATCAATAAGGTTTAAACTGATTGCTGCCTTTCAGTTTTTATACTTCTACAAAGGAGCTGAGCAGAATACACACCTTTCTGTACCCACTATGTAGGGGAGAAACGACCCTTACAATTTTACCTAAAGGGTTTATCTCTTGTGCTTACATTGCAGAGATTCTGGTTTTTAAACTTCAAAGCTTCCCCAGTTCTGTCTCCAGCATCTGCCACTGAGTATTCACCATAGAAAGAAAAATCTTTGGTAGCATGTTCTTTGTGAAACCGTAAGAGCCTCATGTAATAGTAAGATAAAAAAAGAAAGTATTTTTTTCTAATCTCCAAGTAATCAAGGTGGTTATATTTAACTGTTATAGTTGAATTTATTTTTACAAAGAACCATCTTAAAAGTGCTTGCTCCTTTCAGCTGAAGCCTTGAGTGGGTAAGAGCCTGTGATTTGTTTTGTAATGACATATTTACAGCCTCTTTCCTAAGGATTTTTCAAAAAGCCTCTCGGCAGCCAGGAAAGTTGCAAATCATAAAATTAAAAAGGGGATAATGCTTTATAAGGAAGACATGCAGGTAGTCATACACAATTCATACAGTGCATGTGTATTTACATATATGATTAGACTGTAGTTACTTCAGCATGACCTTCACCAATAGATTTTTAAAGTGTCAAGAGAATTCTAGATTTGTTCTTCATATGTGGACACCAAATTACATTCCAAAGCTATGTATAACCAATTATTTAAAATGGAGGAAGCCTAAAAATTAATACTGACTTAAAGACACTTTAAAAGTCACTTGAACATTTTAATAGATGTTTAGAAATAATCCAATTAACAGAGCTTCTTGATTTTATTCCTGATAAAATGAAAACTGTGCTCTCCAGTAGCATCCAAGTTATAACTAGCAAGCGCAAATTAAAAATATTTTAGGAGCTACTTTATATAATTGTACATGTACAAGGGACGCTGTGGAAAAGGCAGACGCTATTGAGAGTTGCTTTGGGGACAAACCCAAGCATTAATGGCAGCTGCCAACAACTACATAACCTGGAGGGCATCTGACTACTGGGATACCTCTTGAGTATAGTTCACCATTATAAACAGGCAATATTAGTCACTTTTTAAAGGTAGTATTCACCCATGAAGCTCATTTCAACCGCGAACCTTTGAGATTATGTGAATGGATATATTTGCAATATAAAAGCAAGTCAAACGAGCCATCACCTGTTTCTGTTCTAGATCACTGACCACATCACCTGGCATTAGAAAAGGCTTTAATGAATAAACCAGTGGAAGAATTTACCTGGAGATCAATTCTACAGAAATATCTTCTTCATCCATTTATTGCAGCTTCAGAAATTAACATTTCTTAACTTTGTTTCTGCAACTTCTTATACCACATGCTACCATGACAATTTCAATCACTCCTGATTTACAGTCAGTACCTTATTGCAGCTTCAGAAATTAACATTTCCTAACTTTGTTTCTGCTACCATGAAAATTTCAATCACTCCTGATTTACAGTCAGTAAACACAAGCAGGATGGTATTATAATTCAACAAGAATATAACAAAGTAATGGCACATATTTCCTGTTTCTCCATAAACCAACCAAAAAGAATATACTATTCATTAAACCCCATAGTATAAACTAACCCAGCCTACACTTTTTCCCAAAGCTAGATATCAATACCTGGAGGATGAATAGCACGACTGTAGGATATGTATTTTCAGAATTATTTCCAGAAGAATGAACAAGACTCATCTCTGGATTGCTTCAAAACATCTCAGTAGAGGTTTATAGACTAAGATGTAAATATATAAGAGATGTAAAACTCCTTTGCACACAAATTCATCTTCAGTTTTGCAATGAAACCTACCCAAACTTTCAATCCTATATTAATTTTTAAGAGAGGGTCACTTAAACTGAAGGAAAAGAAACAGCTGTGCCGGGCACGCTGTTATTTTACAATCTTACGAAAGACCTCCAAATATTAAGGCTTTGGATCGTGCTTTATTAGAATAATTAATGAGACTCCACAACACAGAGGCTGCACAGACTCCTACCTACTCCCAGCAGCTCCACCTGCGGCATTTACAAAGCCGGAGCAGGGTGAGGCACAATAAACCCAAACCTCAGATGAACGACGGCGGTAACGACACCGTGATACCATCTGACCACCTCCACAGTGGTTGGGAACTAATATTGCGTTTTACAGACTAAGTAACCAACATGCAAAGAAGTTAATTAAGCTGCAAAGAGTCTTGAAAATAACTCACGGCAGAATCAAAGAAGTGAAGTGTGGGTTTCCCATGATGAAATGCTTTAAAGGCAGAGAGGCACAAGATGCTTTGAAATATTGCTGAATATATACAATACCCAGAACAGCCTCAGGATTTTTTTGAGGAATGATGGATGAACTCTGTTGGTGTAAGTGAGATATGAACCTGCATTTCAGGTACTCTGCAGTAACCCAGGTACTCCATTACTGCAGAGTAACACTGAAGAAGCTTGTCCCTCAATGAAGGTTTAAACTGCTTCATAATTGTAGTGGGGCACTTGGGGCAAGATCCGGGACCTCAGTAATTTCAGGAGTAGCAGATGACACTTTACAAGTTCAAACTCACATGTCCACAACTCAACATTCACTTGCAAAAACTAAGAGTTAGCTATTCTAAAATCTCACTTTATCCTTCAACATTCTTTTCAAAATAGATCGATGTGGCTTGGCAAAGATGCAATTTTTCTGCAGAACAGTAAAACTTTTGCATGTAGACACACAAGATTATTTTTTTTCCCCTCCCTTTGCAGTAATCTAATAGAATTTCAAAGTAAGGTATTTTAACAAATCATACATAAGTATGGCTTAGGCAGATGTATTCAGAATTGTAATTATTCAACAACACATTTTAAAAAAATTATGAAGTGTATTCCCATTAAAAGCAACTCTATCTGCTTCCACAACCAAGGCGTTAGTCAGCTGTTGCTCTCCCATCTTCACCAGAAGCAGAACTGATTGCTTAATGAAGCTACCAAGTGAAACAAATGTATTGCAGAGATCTTTATCCCATTGTACGAACTGTGATCTTTAGTACTTAATTCCAATGCGTATGAAATATTTATAGTATTTTGCAGAATAGCAACTTTTATATTTCCCCAGAAGTTGAGCTCTTACAGAACTGCAGGTGAGATGCACAGGGACACACAGCAGAAGGATGGAGTATCACCAAATCACAGCTGAAACAAGCCTTCCCAGCACTGGCTGCCCTGTTCCACCCTTCAGAGATATCATCAGATCACACGTAGGTAAATCCATAGTATAATAAATTACCTTTCTCTCAGCTAAAGTATATCGGATCCATCTGACCACGCATACCCTTCTGCTTCCCTGTGATAGCATCAGATTCACCCTGGATATGGTTCCTGTATCCCAGCCTTTACTCCCAAATCCTGTCCATCAGACACTTGACTGAACCCCACATCCCCACTGCCACTCAACAGCAGGGAACCCCTACAGTTGGTGTCCCAGATACTGCTGTAGGGTTTTCCTGCTGTTGTTTCATGTTGAGGTTTTTGGCAGGTTGGTTGTAGGGGGTTTTTTTGGGTTTTCGGGTGGTTTTTTGGTGATTTGTTTTTGGTTTGTTTTTTTTTTTTCAAACTACTGGCTATTTTATTATTAAATTGACCGATGAATCTTGATCACATATCACCTTTTCATCACTTTAACCCCTGTACATTTTTTCCACGTTAACTATCGATCTAGACCTTCAAAAATCTTTTGCATGAAAACCGACCTTCCCTCTGGCTTAACCTTCACAGTTTAAGTGCTTAACCTGTAGTTACATCCCACTCCCTGTGATTCTGCATTTTTATTTTCCTTTAAACAGAACTTGAAATAAATTTTTAGCAACTTAAATTCTTCAAAAGTTTGTAATGAATTAAAATGTGGATTAGAAAAAGAGACATTAAAAGTTTTATTTATTACTAAGCATTTGCCACCAGGCATTTCATAAAGCCACAGATTACTTTTAAAATATTCATTACATAGCCCAAAAGCTTTATTAAGCATCTAATAAAAATGCTACAAAATAAAAATTCCAAGTCTTAATCACATGGAAAATATTCAGTGTTGTAACAAGAATAAATATGAAAAACACAGCTATAAATGTAGAAATACGCACTTTTGGACTTCTATATCTGGAAAATAAGGTGATATTTTAGTTTACAATTTTATGAAGGCTTACTGAAATGGGAACATTATTCCTCTTTCTTTACCAAGGAGCCAGATTAAATATGACAGTA